TCGAGATGTCTTCTTATATTATCAGCTATAATTGACTCTAGTAATTTGCCTACAATTGAGGTTAGGCTTACTGGGCGGTAATTTGATGGTAACGACTTGTCCCCTGCTTTAAAAATAGGAATTACATTAGCCATCTTCCACATATCAGGCACTACATCCATTTGAAGAGATAAATTAAAAATATTAGTTAAAAGTTCACAGAGTTCCATTTCACACTCTTTAACCCTTTGACTGTTTCAGGCCCCTCTCTGAAACTGTCATTCTATGTCGCTCAATTTTTGAAAAAAAAAAATTATTTTTTCTTATGAAATGATAGAGAATCTTTTCCCGATGGTAATGACACCAAAAGTTCGAAATTTGGTCGAAAACTCATGGAATTATGCTCCCGCGAAGTTAGCGGTCTCGGCGACATATGCGTATCGGCGATTTTGCCGACTTTGAGCCCTATTTTCAGCCAATTCCATTGTTCCAGTTGACCAAACTCATAGCTATTTCTTTAGAACTCCATTTTATCTATCAGGTGAGTACAAGAAACCTCCCATTTACTAATTTGGACTACCCAATATGGTGGTCAGAAATTGGCAATTTGGCCAATTTCACGCAAACTAAAAAAGATGTCAATTTCAAAATAGGGTCCAGAATAAACAAGGTAGACATTCGTGGCACTAAAATAACATATGCTCTGTTCATTAGTCACATCTCTAGGCCCTTCTTATATTATTATTGCTTTCTATTTTGATTTTTTATTCATACAAAAAAATACAAAATTTACTGTTATGCAGACTACTGCATTATTGTAAAAATGGTATAAATAATATCAGTGCACTAGTAAAAGAATATTAGACTCCTCAGTTGACGTGTATTGGACGTGTGGTGTGATTTATTTACTCCTGAACATACATTGGTAAAAATCGAACATTTCCGCTACTTTGAGCTCAGTTTCAAAGTCGTTTTCATCGTCAAAGTAATGAAAATCATCTCTATTTCTGTAATATGTTTTCCATTTTATCACCTAAGACCATGAAAACTCGAATACAACAATAAATACTATACGAAAATACACCTCAAAGTCGGCGTTTTATTCCAAAAAAACGATCAGTTTTTTTTCTCATTACGCAATGTGTGCTGCAGGATTTTTTTTATGTGGTGCACACTGACCACACAGACCCATTCTCTCACATGTGCGCCTACCAGCTTTCTCCCGCTTGATTTGAAGCCGCTAGAATTATTGAGTATATATACGTCAGAAACATTGGCTCGTAAGACGTATTTATACGTCGAAAACAGTCAAAGGGTTAAGAACCCTTGAAAAAAGTTAATAAGGGCCTGGGGATTTATTTTGCTTTAACCGGTCTATCTGTTTGATAATCATTTCGCTAGTGACTGTGATATTGCATAATTTATCATCTTCAAGCCCACTATAAAAGTTAATTACTGGGATATTGTCAGTGTCTTCCTGAGTGAAAACCGAGAGAAAATAATTATTAAGAATAGAGCACATTTCATTCTCCTTGTCAGTGAGATGCCCAGAGTTATTTTTAAGGGGACCTATCTTATCTCTAACTTTTGTTTTATAAACCTGGAAAAGCTTTTGGGATAGTTTTTGAATCCCTAGCAACTTTAATTTCATAGTCCCGTTTAGCTTTTCTTATCCCCTTTTTTATGTCCCTCTTTATGTCAATACAGTGGTCCCTCAATAATCGTCCGGCCTGAAAGTCGTCCATTTCGGAAATAGTCCTGTTATTTCATCTAAACACTGGCTCGCAAATGGTCCGTTAACTCGCTAATGGTCCTTTATCCGGGACGCGTACTCATGCTCTGAGCCGCCTGGGCCTTCCCTTCCCAGCCACTGTGCCATTGTTTACCAGTGAGCGACGATCCCTTCACTTGCTCATTCAAAATATTTCATAATATTCCATTGATTTTAGTGCTAGCAAGTGGTAAATAAGCTACCATGGCTCCAAAGAAAGCTCCTAGTGCCAAGCCTTTAGTAAAGAAGGTGAGAAATACGACTGAATTTAAGAAAAACATCATTGAACAATATGATAGTGACATACGTGTGGGCGAACTGGCCAGGATGTATAACAAATCCCGTACAACCATATCTTCCATCATAGCCAAGAAAAAGGAAATCAAAGACGCTGTTGTTGCAAAGGGGGTAAATATGCTGACAAAATGAGATCACCAGTACTCGAAGATGCTGGTGGGGATAAACGAGAAACAATTAGCAGGAGATAGTCTTATGACGTCACTTATTTGTGAAAATGCTAGGCAGTTGCATGACGATTTGGTAAAGAAATTGCCTGCAACTAGTGTGATGTGAGTGAATTTAAGGCCAGCATACACAGCGTGGTAAGGCATGGTGAGGCTGCCAGTTCTGACAACAAAGCAGCTGCAAAATATGTGCAGGAATTCAAGGAGTACATAGAGACTGAAGGACTGAAACCTGAACAAGTGTTCAATTGTGACGAAACAGGCCTCTTTTGGAGGAAAATGCCAAAGAGGACCTACATTACTCAAAAAGAAAAGGCACTGCCAGGACACAAGCCTATGAAAGACAAGCTGATGCTAATGTTCTGTGCTAATGCTAGTGGAGATTTCAAAGTGAAGCAGTTACTAGTGTACCATTCTGAAAATCCCAGAGTGTTCAAGAAAAACAATGTTATGAAGAGTAAATTGTGTGTGTTTTGGAGATCTAACAGTAAGGCATGGGTCACAAGGGACATTTTCATCGAGTGTTTCAATGAAGTGTTTGGCCCTAGTGTGAAGAATTACCTCCTGGAAAAGAAATTGGATCTCAAGTGCCTCCTAGTAATGGACAATGCACCTGCTCATCCTCCAAACTTGGATGACCTAATTCTGAAGGAGTTTGGGTTCATCACAGTAAAGTTCTTGCCCCTGAATACCACTCCTCTCCTCCAGCCCATGGACCAGCAAGTCGATTCAAACTTTAAAAAACTCGACACCAAAACAATGTTTGAAAGGTGCTTTAATGTGACCTCAGACACTCACTTGACCCTAAGAGATTTTTGGAAAGAACACTTCAGTATTCTCCATTGCGTAAGCCTTATAGGTAAGGCTTGGGAGGGAGTGACTACCAGGACTTAGAACTCTGCTTGGAGAAAATTGTGGCCAGATTGTGTCCACAAGAGGGATTTTGAAGGGTTTGAGGCAGCCCCTGATGAGCCTATGTCAGTTGTGAACTCTATTGTCGCACTGGGGAGTTCCATGGAATTGGGTGTGAGTTTGGAGGATTTGGAAGAGTTGGTGGAGGACCACAATGAAGAGCTAACCACAGAGGAGCTGCAAGAGCTTCAGCAGGAAGAGCAACAGATCGCAGCTCAGAATCTTGCTGCAGAGGAGGAGGAAGAGAGATGGAAGAAGGTGCCTTCTTCAGAAATTAAGGAGATTTTTGAAATGTGGGGTAGGATGGAAAGATTTATGGAGAAACATCACCCTGAGAAGGATGTTGCAAGCCATATCGGCAACTTGTACAGTGACAGAGCCTTGGCCCATTTTAGGGAAGTTTTAAAGAGACGCCAGAAACAGAGCTCTCTGGACAGTTTTTTTGTGAGACAGGACTCCAGTGACTCTCAAGGTGGTCCTAGTGGCATTAAGAAACAGAGAAGAGAAGTAACCCCAGAAAAGCAATTGGTACCTGAGGTGTTGATGGAAGGGGATTCCCCTTCCAAACAGTAAATAATCCAATCTGTCTCCTCCAGTCTTCCATACACAAAGAAGAATCGCCAATAAAGGTAAGTGTTATGCTGTTAATGTTTCATTCATCATGTGCCACTGTATTGTTCATGTACTACATCTATATTTCATGTAAAAAAATTTTTTGTTATAATACTTCTGGGTGTTGGGAACGGATTAATTGCATTTACATTATTCCTTATGGGGAAAATTGATTTGAAAATCGTCTATTTCGATAATAGTCCCACTTCCAGAAACGGATTATGGACGATTATTGAGGGACCACTGTATATTGATTCATAAGATGACCCTCACCTCTTTTGATATGCCTATAAATTTCTTTCTTCTGTCCTAAAAGATATCTGAGCCTATTATTCATCCATTTGGGGTCATTTCTATTCGATCTAATTTCCTTATATGGGATAAATGTCCTTTGGGCAGCATGTATTGTGTTTAGAAAGCTGTCATACTGATAGCTCTCTTCGTTACTCCAGTCCACAGATGATAAGTGTTCTCTAAGCCCATTGTAATCTGCTAAGTGAAAATCTGGGATCATTACTGAATTATCCCTACTATCATACTTCCATTCAATGCTAAAGGTAACTGATTTGTGACCGCTCGTTCTGAGTTCCCCTGTAATTTTTATTTATTTATTTATTTATTAATTTGAACATGATACAGAGAAGTACAAAGGAATACAGTTATTAAAATGCAACATGCCAAAGCCCCTTGTATGCAGAGCATTATGGGCAGGCTTAACATTAACTTAAGATTAAGCAATGATATATTCAGTGGTAAAAACATTATTGTAAACAGATAACAATTTAGCACAAATGAGTATTGAGTACTGTGTTGCTGTGCATTCAGTAGAATGGAGTATTCTGTTAGGTAATGTAATTAAAAAATGACAAAGCTTGATTGGGTCACAGGTTAGACATTTATGAGACATTTATGAGATACAATTATTCAGTATTTATTTAGTTGTGGGCGAGTAAGTGATTTTTGAGAAGAGACTTGAATTTATAAACAGACAGTGTTTCTTTTATATTCACAGGTAATGAATTCCAGATTTAGGGCCTTTTATATGCATTGAGTTTTTGCATAGCATGAGATGGACACGAGGAACATCAAAGAGTGATCTGTGCCTTGTGTTATGGTCATGTGTTCTGTTGAGGTTGGTAAGGAGACGTTTGAGGGTAGGGTTTATATCAGAGTTAAGTGTTCTATGTATGTAGTAGGTGCAGTAATAAGTATGGATGTTTTGTATGGTGAGTAGGTTTAGAGTTTTGAATATTGGTGGAGTGTGCTGCCTGTAGTGGGAATTTATCATCATTCTGACTGCAGCCTTTTGTTGGGTAATTAGTGGTCTGAGATAGTTTATTGTTGTTGAGCCCCATTCACAATTCCATAGGCGAGATAGGGGTAAATAAGCGAGTGATATAGGGCCAGGAGGGCTGACTGTGGAACATAGTACTGTATCTTCGATAGTATACCTACGGTCTTGGAATTTTTTTTGGAAATTTGTTGTATATGTGTTTGAAATTTGAGTCTATTATCAAGGTGGATTCCTAAGAATTTTCCCTCTGTGAGTTTTGTGATAGGTAATTCGTTTATCATTATGTTAAGAGGGACATCTGTAGCTCTGTTACCAAACTGAATGAAGTAGGTTTTGTCAATGTTTAGAGTGAGTTTGTTAGTCCTCATCCAGGTAGATATTTTCTGTAATTCGGTAATTACAGTATTGGCTAGCGTGACTGGGCTCGGGTGAGAGAAGACGTATGTAGTGTCATCTGCAAATAGTGTAGGTTTGAGTAGTTGCGATGCATCTGGTAGGTCATTTATGTATATGAGAAAAAGAAGAGGGCCTAGGACACTTCCCCATGGAACACCAACTGTAATTGGCTGTGCGGAAGAGTTTGCCCCATTTGTGTACACATATTGGCTTCTCTTGCTGAGGTATGACTTTAGGTAGTTGAGGGAGTGCCCTCTTATACCATAGTGCGACAATTTTATGTGGAGCAAGTCATGGTCAACTGCATCAAAAGCTTTACGTGAGTCAATGAAGATCCCCAGTGGGACCTCTTTTTTCTCTATTGCAGTGTATATATGTTCTAGCATGTGTATAATAGCATCATTAGTATTTTTATTAGGCCTGAACCAAAATTGACAGGGGTTGAGTATGTTGTGGGAGATGAGGTAGGAATAGATTCGCTTATGAATTAATTTTTTGAAGATTTTAGAGAGAGGGTGTAAGTTGGATATTGGCCTATAGTTATTCAAGTCTGTTTGGTCTCCTCCTTTATGGATCGGGGTGACCCTTGTTATTTTGAGAACTGTAGGGAAGGTAGAGGATTCAATGGATTTGTTAAAAAGTGTTGCAATGATTGGTGATAGCACTTGTGATGCTTTTTTGTATATAAAGGGTGGTAAGGTATTTAAATCTCCTGTCTTGTTTTTTAGTGTGTTGATAATAAGGAGACTTCAGTTGGGTTAGTCGGAGCTAACCCAAGGGTTTCCTTGTTTGCCAGAACCAAATCAAGTAGGTTATTTCCCCTTGTAGGCTCTGTCACAAACTGCTTCAAAAAACAATCCTAAACTACTTCTAAGAAATCGTTAGATTCTAAATTCCCAGTCATGAAATTACAATCAATCTGACCAAAGTTGAGGTCCCCTAGAATTACTACGTTATCTTGCCTTGTGTCCTTAGCAATTTCCTCCCATAGTAGTCTCCCTTGGTTCCTATCTAAGTTTTGGGGACGGTATATCACACCTAAAATAAATTTTTCATGCCACTCTAAAAATTCTATCCAAACAGACTCTCTATACCTGGAGTCTACCTGGAGGGAATTCTGGGGATCAACGTCCCCGCGGCCCGGTCCATGACCAGGCCTCCCGGTGGATCAGGGCCTGATCAACGAGGCTGTTACTGCTGGCCGCACGTAATCCAACGTACGAACCACAGCCCAGATGATTTCGACACCGTCTTTAGGTATCTGTCCAGCTCCCTCTTGAAGACAACCAGGGGTCTTCCCGTAATGCCCCTTATTGCTGGTGGGAGGCTGTTGAACAGTCTTGGGCCCCAGACACTTATTGTGTTTTCTCTTAAGGTACCAGTGACGCCCCTATTTTTACTGGGGGTATGTTGCATCGCCTGCCAAGTCTTTTGCTTTCGTATGGAGTGATTTCTGTGTGCATATTAGGGACCAGTCCCTCCAGAATCTTTCAGGTGTAGATTATGATATCTCTCTCGCCTGCGCTCTAGTGAGTACAAGTCAAGTGCTTCCAGGCGCTCCCAGTAAAGGCAGTAAAGGTTCTCTGTACATTCTCTAGCTCTGCAATTTCACCTGCCTTGAATGGGGATGTTAATGTACAGCAGTATTCCAGCCTAGAAAGAATAAGTGATTTAAAAAGGATCATCATTGGCTTAGCATCTTGAATGTTCTCATTATCCATCCTATCAGTTTCCTAGCAGATGTGATAGTGGCATTGTTGTGATCCTTGAAGGTGAGATCCTCTGACATTACCACTCCCAGGTCTCTCACATTACTTTTCCTCTCTATTGTGTGATTGGAGTTTGTAGTATACTCAGTTCAAGTTATTATTTCCTCCAGTTTTCCATAACGGAGTAGTTGGAATTTGTCTTCATTGAACATCATATTGTTCTCCGTTGCCCATTGAAAAACTTGGTTTATATCTTCTTGGAGGTTAACAGTGTCCTCAATGGATGACACTCTCATGCAGATCCTAGTATCGTCTGCAAAAGATGATACAGCCCTGTGGTTTACATCTCTGTCTATGTCTGATATGAGAATAAGGAACAGGATAGGTGTGAGTACTGTGCCTTGTGGGACAGAGCTCTTCACTATGGCAGCATCTGATTTAACTCTGTTTACCACTACTCTTTGTGTGCGATTGGTTAGAAAGTTGAAGATCCATCTGCCTACTTTGCGGGTTATCCCTTTGGCACACATTTTGTGTGCTATTACACCATGGTCGCACTTGTCAAAGGCTTTTGCAAAGTCTGTGTATACTACATCCGCATTTTGTTTGTTTTCCAGTGCATCTAGGACCATATCATAGTGGTCAAGCAGTTGCGAAAGGCAGGAGCGACCTGCTCTGAAACCATGTTGCCCTGGGTTGTGCAATTTTTGGGAGTTCAGGTGGTTTGCTATCCTACTTCTTAGAACTCTTTCAAAGATTTTTATGATGTGGGACATTAAAGCTATTGGTCTATAGTTCTTAGCTACTGCTTTGCTGCCACCTTTATGGAGTGGGGCTATACCTGTTGTTTTTAGTGACTGTGGAATCTCGCCTGTGTCTAAGCTCCTCCTACATAGCATACTTAGGGCCCGTGAGAGGGGTTTCTTGCAGTTTTTAATGAACAGAGTTCCACGAGTCTGGGCCTGGGGCTGAGTGCATGGGCATGTTGTCGATGGCTTTCTCAAAGTCTAGTGGAGTTAGAGTTATGTCATAAATCTGGCCTACATTGGATCATCTATCTTTAAACTGGTTAGTGGCTCACTGAACACTGAGTCATACTGCAATTTCAGTATCTCGCTCATTTCTTTGTTGTCGTCAGTGTAGGATCCATCTTGTCTGAGCAGGGGCCCTATACTAGAAGTGGTTTTTGACTTGTTTTTGGCGTATGAAAAGAAATATTTCGAATTTCTTTCAATTTCATTAATCGGTTTTAGCTCCTCTTGTCTCTCCTGGATCCTGTATGAGTCCTTTAACTTCAGCTCAATATTTTCCACTTCCCTGGTTAGCACTACCTTCCGTGTATCAGATAATCTGGCATTCTTGAGGAGCTCAATGATTCTTCGTCTTCTCCTGTAGAGGGAGCATCTCTCTCTCTCCAGTTTACTTCTTCTTTTCTTTTGTCTTATAGGAATATACCTTGAACATACTTCAGCAACCAGGAGGGTGATCTTTTCGAGGCATTGGTTCGGGTTCATGTAATTTAAGATATCCTCCCAGCATGTTTCATTTAGGGCATAGTTTACCTGATCCCAGATGATGTTCTTGTTGTTGAAGTTGGATTTGGTAAAGGTACCCTCATAACTGAATGCATTGTGCTGATCAGGACTCCTGTGCATGCAAGTCTGGACTTCGATTAGATTGTGATCAGAATTTGTTGTTTTTGATATTGTTATATTCCTTACCAGGTCCTCATTATTTGTGAAAATAAGGTCCAGTGTGTTCTCCAGTCTTGTTGGCTCCACTATTTGCTGACTTAGGGTGTGTTTGTTGCAGAAATTCAGCAGCTCCTGCGTGTGTGACCTTTCATCTGAGCTACCTCCAGGGATTATTTCTGCTACGACATTATTTGCTATATTCTTCCATTTTGTGTGTCTTAGATTGAAGTCACCAAGCAGCAAGATGTTTGGGGATGGGGCTGGAAAGTTGTCCAGACAGGAGTCGATTTTTGACAGTTGTTCTTTTAACTGTTGGGAAGTTGCATCCGGTGGCTTATATACAAGTACAATGACTAAGTTTTGGTTCTCGATTTTTATTGTCAGAACTTCAACTACATCATTTGTGGTGTTCAGTATCTCTGTGCAAATGAGCGACTCTTTGATGTACAGGTCAACCCCCCCTTGTTGCCTGTTCTTTCTGTCGCATTTGAAAAGGTTGTATCCAGGTATCCATATTTCACTGTCAAAGTAATCTTTTGCGTGGGTCTCTGTGAAAGCTGCAAACAGTGAATTTGACTCCTCTAGAAGTCCACTAATGAAAGGTATTTTGTTGTTTGTGGATGGCTTAAGGCCCTGTATATTAGCAAATATAAATAAGGTTGTGTTGCATGTTTGTTGGGGGGATTTTGTTGTTGGCATCAGCAGCTGTGAGCCCGGAGGTGCCACTGGCTATGCCTCCAGTCCAACAAGGCTCCAAGGTGGTGGACTATTTTGGTTATCTCTTTCCATTTTCTTTCTTTGTTTCCTACCCCTAAAAAATCACTTGGGGTGTTGTCGTAGCTACCATATGATGTGTTGTATGGGGTGTGTGCCTCCTGGTCCCTTTTAGATGATATGCAGTGCAATTGGTATTGTAACATTGTTTTTCAAGGACTGAAGACTGACACATCTCCGGGTGGAAGTATTTGCAAGAGGTAGAACGACACACTCCCTTAGACAGGAGGTCACGGCAATTTTTGGGATGCTCAAAGTTGCATGCCCCATTCGTTTTCCCTGATATTCCGTGTTTACAGATGCCCCAAATATAGTATTTGCACCATTTTGTTTTTGGCTGGGTACAATTCGTGCTGGATGTATTCTTAATCTGTGCTGGCCCTAGGGCCGAACTACAGTCCTTCATAGCCAATCCAGAGACACCACCATCTGCTATCATAGCACCAACATTTTTCCTGGGAGGGGATTCCCCGACTACATCTGTACTAGAGGCTATGACTGTGATGGTTGCAGAAGAGTCTACCCCAGAGTAGGGCTCCTCTACTACATCTGTACTAGGGGCTATGGCGTTGGTGGCTGTGGAGGAGTCTTTAACTGAATCCGGATTTTCACAATGGCTGGGGGCTGGGACTGGGTCAGCCCTAAGGCTGGGGACTGAACTAGCTGTTGTTTTTGTTTACCGTGTTTTTTCTAGTGTGTATCTGCTTATTTCTGGGTCAGTTGTTGTAGACTGGGCATTCTCTGTGTTAGACTTTACTCCTCTCCTATCTTCCCTATTCAATAGTTCCTATGTGTTATTTCAGATTTTATACCCTTTTTTATGCAACAGTTCAAGCAATCTCGGACATACAATGCCACCCCACCCCCCTTCCCGATACTTCTATCTACTTGGAACAATTTAAAACCCTGAATGTGACATTCTGCAGGCATGTTCCGACTTTTTTGATTAAACCACGTCTCAGTTATGGCAAATATATATCAATGTTACCAGCACTAGCAACTAATCTCAACTCGTCCATCTTATTCCTAGCACTACGGCTATTAGCATAATATACATTGAAAGACCCTCCTTTCTCTTCAACCTTCCTGCTCATTTCTGTTTTTCCACTAAACCTATTACTGTCCTTGTCACCTAGTGTCACTGGATTTTCAATATCTACCTCATTGCTCTAGGGCTCTTCAAATGTCTAAGTATATTACATGTGGGTGGGGTGGAGTGCCTGGCATACCTACCACACCTAACTTCTCACAATAAACACTACTGTGTGTGTAGTTTACTATTTATTGTTTTTTAATGCCTTGTTCTATTGCTAACTTAATATGTAACGTAAACTTATTATCTGACATTTATAAGTGGAAACAAATGGCGTTCTGCTTTCCGCGATGTCCACTTTGCGGCAGTAGTCTGGAACCTAACCTGCAGTATAAATGGGGCCCTACGGTACATTATCAGGTATCTCTCTCTTCTCTACTTAAGAGAAAACAATTTAAGTGCATTGAGGTCTTTCAATAGTTTAGATATTTTATTTATTCCATGCAGGCAATATACAACCTCTGGACATTTGCCACCTCTACTGTCTCTCTCTCTTCCTTGTAAGGTGCTGTGAGCAAAGAACAATAAAGTCATGAAAGCATAAGTGATTTGAGAACTATCATCGGTGTTGATCCTTTTATTTTCAAAGTTCTCATAATCCACCCTGATGTTTTAGATATATACAGTGGACCCTCGAATTTCACGATTAATCCATTCCAGAGAGTCTGCTGAATGGTGAAGTTCACGACTGGCATAACCATTTTCCCCGTAAGAAATAATGGAAACCCTATTAACCCGTTTCAGACACCCAAAAGTATTAAGAAAAAAGATTTTTTTAAAGATTAAATATAGATTTACATAGAGAAAAAATGACAAATGAATATAAAGCACTAATAAAATGGATAAATAAACATTTAACATCACACTTACCTTTACTGAAGACTCCTGTTGGTGTATGGCAGACAAGTAGGAGGGGAGTGGGAGACAAGAGGGAGGTGAAGTTATCCTTCAATATGATGCTAATATCATCTCTACGGTTTATTTATCTATCACAATTCCTCTAATATGACATAATAAACAATATTAATAACAAAGAAACATGATTTGTACTTTAGAATGAAGAAAATATGTCATAACATATGTGAGGAGTAAGTGTTGGTGGTGGTGTTGTTGGGTTTATAAGGGCCACTGAGAGAAGCCGTACATATTAGTGGTGGTGAAGGCGGCAGCAGAAGCCACCAACCCTATTCAAATTGAAACAATGTATGTAATTTATAAATAAGAAATATTTACACTTACCTTGGAGGAGATGTTAGTTTAATTAGTTTTATGGAGGAGATGCTGGCAGAGGTTTAGGGTGGTGGAAGAGAGCAGGGTGGCGTATGTTCAGCGGCCCTATACACCGACAACACTGGAGAGTTACTTTCGTATCGTTTTCCTATCGCTTAACTTACTTGACTGTTAATGCTACTTTATCGTTGGCTGGCACTATAGCCCTTATCAATACCTGCTGCTTTAGTATCATACATATCGTAGAATCACTGAAGAAGGCACATTCTCCCCTCTCTCTTCCTCCTCCACTTTGGTACTTTCCTACAAGTTTTTCTTGAATTCTATTGTATTTCTTTCCTTCTTTACCAAAGGCCTGGCACTAGGAGCTTTCTTTGAGCCCATGGTGGTTTATTTACTAGTTGTAAGCACAAAAAACAATGGATTATTATGAAACATATCGTATGAACCCGTGGGGTGATGGTCACTCGCTGATAAACAATGGCACACCGAGTGTGAATGGTGTGGGAGACTGGCTTTGTGTGTGCACTGACGGTGGGATGCCGGTTGGATGCATACCAGATGGTCGCTGAATCACGAGATGAACCACGAGGCTATATTTTGCCGAAAAAAATTGCCGAAAGTCGTGGTCGCTGAAAGGCAGGGGTCCACTGTACTCACAAGAGGTCAGCAGTATTCCAGTTTGTTAATAAACTTAACCATAATAATAACATGGCACTGCTCTCATTATGTGCACAACAATTTCTGCTTGAGAGATCCTCTGACATACTTATTCCTAAATCTTTACCTGTTCCTTACATTCTATGATATGGTCTGCCTGTGTTTTACATACTGTGGTTGTTTTGAGGCATTCATAAGCTTATCATGCCTATGCAGCTGAAATTTGTCACTAATGGGATTTTCATTTATTCACTGGACTATTTTAATGTGTGTTTGTAGTTTTCCCCTGTGTATTCTACTGAGGCAACTTGTTATATCTATTTTGGTATTGTATGCTAAAGATGATACAAAGCTGTTTTTAGCACTCTTGTTTATGAGGCTAAGAAACAGTTATGATGTCAGGGCCATACTTTTGGGCACTCAACATTTGACTTTTCTAAGGTAAGACTTTGTTCTGTTGACTACCAGGCTTTGTCATCTCTGTATACATGGTCTTTATCAAGCATGTCTTTATAATATGCTGTTTATATTTATCAAGTTTGAAACTGCTGCTTGTTTACCTTATTGATGGTCCAAAAATCTTTCTTGTTTAGTTTTTAAGAATTTCTCATAAATTAATATGATTATCATGTCTGATCTCTCTTCTCTCTTCCAAAGAGAGCATTTACAAATATTTTAATTTTACTTGGTAAGCAGTATTTTTAAAACTGCTAACTCATTTGTAGTAGTACTTCAAGATTTACAAATATTCTCTGCACTTCTTTAAATAAGGACACTGTATAACAGATGCATGTTCTAATTTAGGTTTATAATATATGAGGGTGCTGTAAAAATTCTTTACTACTTATCTATGCACATATTTGAAATGGCCAGAATGGGCCAAAAAGTCATGTAATACAGCCTCTCCTCACTTTGCGACTTACTCATTTACCAACGCCTCGGACTTACGATGGGCTCTTTGACCAGTATTCATACCTAAATAATATATATTAGAGCTGAGTTCCTCTATTATCTTTATTACTAAATACAGTACACTACTGTATGAACATTTAAAAATAGTATACCAGAAATGTTATACATGGTGCAAAGGTTACATTAAAGCAATATTAAAGATGGCTGACATAAACTCACTACCATTATAGTATGCTCCTCACTTAGCAATGAATTCGTTTAATGACGTGGTCTCAGGAATGGAACTCCATCATTAAGTGAGGAGAGGCTGTATACAAGTCATTTATTTAGAGCAGACTCCCCATCTGTCATATATAGTGACAATATTAACTATGTGGAACTCAGGAAAATGGAGTAGGTGCAAATGCAGCAGATGTCAGTATCAAACTAGACATCTATACTGATATAAGAAAACTCCTTCAGTATTAATTTGTATTAATAATGAAATGGTATTATAGTCTTAAGGTGTCACAGTAGCTAGCAGGAGCAACAGAAGTGAGGTTATTTAAAAAAATGTGTACAGTAGAACTAGTCTTGCTCCACCTGTCCAGCTACAGTTTAACACTAGCAAATCAATCAACATCCACAGTACATCTCTTAATAGTTGTTTATAGTTTGGGAAGCATCAGCCAAGTGGCTCATTTTAAGAACAGGTCTCCTATATCTGGGAAGAAATATTACAGAATAATGAGCAATTAAGAAACAAAACAAAAAAAAAAAAGTGTTTATTCTGAATGTTAATAGAAGTTTCTAAGATTTATCTATCTCATAACATGACTGAGACAAAACAAAAAGACCAGCAATTCTGCCAGAGAGTAAAACACTTAATGGGTATCTGTTTTACAATAAATACCTGTTTAACCCCTTGACTGTTTCGGTCATATATATACGTCATACGAGACACCGTTTTTGACGTATACAAACTCATAAATTCTAGCGGCTTCAAATCAAGCAGGAGAAAGCTGGTAGGCCCACATGTGAGAGAATGGGTCTGTGTGGTCAGTATGCACCATATAAAAAAAATCTTGCAGCATGCAGTGCATAGTGAGAAAAAAAACTCTGACTGTTTTTTTTCTAATTAAAATGCCGACTTTGTGGTCTATTTTTGTATGTTATTTATGATTGTATTCTCGCTTTCTTGGTCTCATCTGATAGAATGGTAAACATATTATAGAAATAGAGGTGATTTTGATTGGTTTTACTATGAAAAGAACCTTGGAATGGAGCTCAAAGTAGAGTAAATGCTTGATTTTTGCCTATGTTCAAAAGTAAACAAATGATGTCATTTTCCAATAAATGTCCAAGAAGCCATTCTAATATGCAGTCATGAATGGGTTGACATTATTTATACAATTATTACAATATTGCAGTAGTCTGCATAAAAGTAAATCTTCTATATTGTTTGAATAAAAATTCAAAATAGAAAGCAAGAGTAATATCAGAAGGGCCTGGAGATGTGACTGATGAACAAAGAAAATATTATTTTAGAGCCAGGAATGTCTGCATTGTTCATTCTGGACCCTATTTTGAAACTGTCATACTTTTTAATTTTTGTGAAATTGGCCAAATTGCAAATTTCTGACCATGTTATTGGGTAGTTGAAATTGGTAAATGGGCAGTTTCTTGTAATCAATCGATAGAAAAAATGGAGTTCTAAAGAAATAGTTATGAGTTTGGTCGACTGGAACAATGGAATTAGCTGAAAACAGGGCTCAAAGTGGGCGAAATCGCCAATTCGTAAATATCGACGAGGTTGCTAACTTCAAGAGAGAGTAATTCCGTCAGTTTCCATCAAATTTCGTTCTTTTGGTGTCATTACAATCGGAAAAAGATTCTCTATCATTTCATAAGAAATTTTTTTTTTTTTCGGAAATTTTGCGACACCAGGAGACACCTCAGGATTTGGGTTGCAACAGTCATGGGGTTAATATTAGAGTACCATACTCGTACCTGAAGTCCAGGGAGAGGTTACGCTGGTGATTGGGCCGGTGTTTCCTGGCAGACTGAGCATGGGGAGGCAATGGCCTTCTGGCACTGGTCGAGCCTCCATGGACTGTGGCAAACTCTTCAGGTGGAGGAAGTGGGTAGGCTGAAGGCAGTAGTGAAGTAGACATCAGGGAAGAGGTTCTCCTGCCTGAGGTGGCAAGGGTTGCAGTGGGGCTGGTGGTGGTGGTGAGGGCCTCCATGGTGATGGTTGGCCTCCTCCCAGTCTCCAGCACCCCGCCCGCCACACCAATGGCTAATAGGCTCTGTGCCCACCATCACGTACCATTACATACACTGAAAGATAAACCATAGTCATTTTATTTTAATTCATTGAAAAAATCTAATTTATTTAACATGCCTGTGTAAATAATAATAACCATATGCAGTATGATGTGACCACAAGAAGACAAATGACACTATCAATCATTTTTATAATGGTTATCTATAATCTAGAGCAGTGGTTCCCAAATTTTTTCAGGCTCCCACCCCCCTTGGCTCCCAGGCCACATCCCTACTGACCCCCCCCCCCCACAAACATACATACAAATACACCTCTTTCTTGATATTAACTTTACTGCAAATTTAAAAGAACAACTAATCTAACACTAGGATTTCTAGAAAAAAAAATGTAAAAAACATGTAAATCACAGCAAAACAGCAGGGAAACAAAGAAATATTGTGAGGGGGGCAGGGGAAGGTCCTCCAACAACATTGGGGTTGGGTGAGAATGTGTAGTTTTAGGTAAGGGAGAACAGCAAAACAAAACATTTTAAGCAAATATAAATTATGTAAAAAACACAAAAACCACAACAAAATATACCAGAAAACAATTAGATGATGTGGGATGCTGCTTTATTATCAAAGCGAGTGTTACAGCTAAAAACGAAGATAGGCTAAATCCTCAGCACAGCAACACTTCCACACCCTTTGGCGTCCCTCTTTCAATACCACTCAATCATATCTATTACATATACATTACATTACAAGATTGAAGATAACTTGCAGTGTGTACAAACCTAGAGCTTTGGCTCTTGCAAATGTGAAAATCCATTCATCACCAGTACCCATAGTATCTGCTGTCTGACCTGGCTGGTGTGTGGCACGTCCGAACAAATGTTCAGACATTTAACTCTGACTTCAGACCACAAAATAAAATAAAACTATGCTTTTGTGTATACAGTAGAACCCCTTATCAATGGATTCAGTATCTGTGGTTTCAGTTATCCATGGCTGAACATGGACTAAAAATAACCCTTAGTTTTGCTTAATAATGGCCCCAAAGTGAAAAAGTAGTGATGCTGGCAGTTCTTCAAAGCCTAAGAGAAGCAGTGAAATTCTTCCCATCAGTGAAAAAGTATTAATTTCTAGACTTATTTTGCATTATATATCAATTAAACTTTATCATAGGTATGTATGTAAATGAAAAATGACTTACAAATAGGATTTGCTACTACATACAGTGGTTCCTCGATAATCGTAAGGCTCGATAGTCGAAATTTTCGAAAATCGTAACGTTTTCGTCCAAACACTGGCTCGCTAATCGTAGTTTGACTCACGAATAGTCATTTGTCTGGGAAGCGTACTCACGGCTCTGAGCCGTTCCCAGTCAGTGTGCCATTGTTTACCAGTGAGCGACGGTCCCCTCACTTGCTCATACAAAATATTTCATAATATTCCATTCATTTTAGTGCTTTCAACTACTAAATAAGCTACCATGGCTCCAAAGAAAGCTCCTAGTGCCAAGCCTTTGGTAAAGAAGGTGAGAAATACGATTGAATTTAAGAAAAACATCATTGAACAATGTGACAGTGGCGTACGTGTGGCCGAACTGGCCAGGATGTACAACAAACCCCATACAACCATAGCTTCCATTGTGGCCAAGAAAAAGGAAATCAAGGAAGCTGTTGTTGCAAAGGGGGTAAATATGCTGACAAAAATGAGATCACCAGTACTCGAAGATGTTGAGAAGTTATTACTGGTGTGGATAAACAAGAAACAATTAGCGGGAGATACTCTTATGACGTCGATTATTTGTGAAAAGGCTAGGCAGTTGCACGACGATCTGGTAAGGAAATTGCCTGCAACGAGTACTGATATTTGTGAATTTAAGGCCAGCAAAGGTTGGTTTGAGAGATTTAAGAACCGTAGTGGCATACACAGTGTGGTAAGGCATGGTTAGGCTGCCAGTTCAGACAAAATTGCAGCTACAAAATTCATAAGTGAATTCAAGGAGTACATAGAGGCTGAAGGATTGAAACATGAACAAGTGTTCAATTGTGACAAAACAGGCCTCTTTTGGAAGAAAATGCCAAAGAGGACCTACATTGCTCAGGAGGAAAAGGGACTGCCAGGACACAAGCCTATGAAAGACAGGCTGATGCTCATGTTCTGTGCTAATGCTAGTGGGGACTTCAGAGTGAAGCAGTTACTAGTGTACCATTCTGAAAATCCCAGTGTGTTCAGGAAAAACAATGTTATGAAGAGTAAATTGTGTGTGTTTTGGAAATCTAATAGTAAGGCATGGGTCACGAGGGAAATTTTCGTTGAGTGGTTCAATGAAGTGTTTGGTCCTAGTGTGAAGAATTACCTCCTGGAAAAGAAATTGGATCTCAAGTGCCTCCTAGTAATGGACAATGCACCTGCTCATCCTCCAAACTTGGATGACCTAATTTTGGAGGAGTTTGGGTTCATCACAGTAAAGTTCTTGCCCCCAAATACCACTCCTCTCCTCCAGCCCATGGACCAGCAAGTCATTTCAAACTTTAAAAAAAAACTACACAAAAGCAATGTTTGAAAGGTGCTTTAATGTGACCTCAGACATTCACTTGACCCTAAGAGATTTTTGGAAAGAACACTTCAGTATTCTCCATTGCGTAAGCCTTATAGGTAAGGCTTGGGAGGGAGTGACTACCAGGACTTTGAACTCTGCTTGGAGAAAATTGTGGCCAGATTGTGTCCACAAGAGGGATTTTGAAGGGTTTATGGCTGACCCTGATAAGCCTATGTCAGTTGTGAAATCTACTGTGGCACTGGGGAGTTCCATGGGGTTGGATGTGAGTTTGGAGGATGAGGAAGAGTTGGTGGAAGACCACAACAAAGAGCTCACCACTGAGGAGCTGCAAGAGCTTCAGCAGGAACAGGAACAGATCGCAGCTCAGAATCTTGCTGCAGAGGAGGAAGAGAGATGGAAGAAGTTGCCTTCTTCAGAAATTAAGGAGATTTTTGAAATGTGGGGTAAGATGGAAAGATTTATGGAGAAACATCACCCTGACAAGGCTGTTGCAAGCCATGTTGGCAACATGTACAGTGACAAAGTCTTGGCCCATTTTAGGGAAGTGTTAAAGAGATGGCAGAAACAGAGCTCTCTGGACAGTTTTTTTTTTTTGCGAGACAAGACTCCATTGACTCTCAAGCTGGTCCTAGTGGCATTAAGAAACAGAGAAGAGAAGTAACCCCAGAAAAGCCCTTGGTACCTGAGGTGTTGATGGAAGGGGATTCCCTTTCCAAACAGTAACTAATGCAATCTGTCTCCTCCTCCAGTCTTCCATACACTAAGAAGAATCGCCAATAAAGGTAAGTGTTATGCTGTTAACCCTTTGACTGTCGCGGCCGTATATATACGTCTTACGAGGTACCGTGCTTGACGTATATATACCCATAAATTCTAGCGGCTTCAAATCAAGCAGGAGAAAGCTGGTAGGCCCACATGTGAGAGAATGGGTCTATGTGGTCAGTGTGCACCCTATAAAAAAAATCCTGGAGCATGCAGTGCATAATGAGAAAAAAAAAAAAAAACTGACCGTTTTTTTTAATTAAAATGTCGACTTTGTGGTCTATTTTCGTATAGTATTTATGGTTGTATTCTCGTTTTCTTGGTCTCATTTGATAGAATGGAAAACATATTATAGAAATAAAGGTGATTTTGATCGATTTTACTATAAAAAGAACCTAGAAATGGAGCTCAAAGTAGGGGAAATGTTTGATTTTTGCCAATGTTCAAAAGTAAACAAATGATGCCATTGTCCAATAAATGTCCAACTAGCCATTCTAATATGCAGTCATGAATGGGTTGATGTTATTTATACAATTATTACAGTATTGCAGTAGTCTGCATAATAGTAAGTCTTCTATTTTTTTGTTTGAATAAAAATTCAAAATAGAAAGCAAGAGTAATATCAGAGGGGCCTGGAGACATGACTGATGAGCAAAGAAAATGTTATTTTAGAGCCAGGAATGTCTGCATTGTTCATTCTGGACCTTATTTTGAAATTGTCATATTTTTTAGTTTTCGTGAAATTGGCCAAATTGCAAATTTCTGACAACATTATTAGGTAGTTGAAATCGGTAAATGGGCAGTTTCTTGTACTCAATCGATAGAAAAAATGGATTTCTAAAGAAATAGCTATGAGTTTGGGCGACTGGAACAATGGAATTAGCCGAAAATAGGGCTCAAAGTGTGTGAAATCGCTGATTTGTAAACAGCGCCGAGGTCGCTAACTTCGCGAGAGCATAATTCCGTCAGTTTTCCATCAAATTTCGTTTTTTTGGTGTCCTTACAATCGGGAAAAGATTCTCTATCATTTCATAAGAAAAAATAATTTTTTTTTTTTTTAAATTTTGCGACACCAGGAGACACCTCAGGATTGGGGGTTGCGACAGTCAAAGGGTTAATGTTTCATTCATCATGTCCCATTGTACTGTTTATGTACTACATCTATATTTCATGCAAAAAATTTGTTTGTTTTAATACTTCTGGGTGTCAGGAACGGATTCATTGTATTTACATTATTTCTTATGGGGAAAATTGATTCGAAAATCGTAAATTTCAATAATAGTCACACTTCCAGGAACGGATTAATTACAAAAAACGAGGGACCACTGTATTTGCAATTTCAGGTATCCACGGTAGGTCTTGAAACATATCCCCCATGAATAAGAGGGACTACTGTAACTCTATGTTAATTTTATTCTTTGTAAAGCATTTGTGGCGCTTAAATGTCCATGACTTAGATTTTGTCACATACTATTTGTAAAACAAAAGCTCTTTTGGTTCTGATGCCACCTTGCCACCCACTTTTTCCTCAGTGGCCCCCCCCCAGGATCTTTCCACTCCCCCCCTCGGGGGATGGAGGGGTGCCGCCACCCACTTTGGGAATCGCTGATGTAAAGCAAGATTTTTCAAACCCAGAGTAATAACCCAAACTGTAAATGTAAGAAATTGAAAGGTTAATTATATTTTTTATATGCTTTCTTTAATATGTGCTAAATAAGTAGCTATTTGCTTAGGCTCTAAG